CCCCAAAACCCCAAAACCCCAAAACCCCAAAACCCCTTATAAGAAACAAGATATAGAAATTTATATTTTATTTTATACAAATCATCATGAAATTACTTGATGGCATTCTGAAGTATGCAAAAACTGAAGATGCAAAATCTGCTCAGAAGAAGAGATCAAAGGTGCTTTCCACCAGCCGTGTTAATACCAAAACTGGTGCAGTGGTGACAACTCTGAGTCCAGGCCCCGAATCGTGAATTAAAAGTACCTTTTAAAGGCTAAATATAGCTTATATCAAATCTAATACAGGGAGGAATTATCAGCAGAATCTTAACACAATTTGTCGAATGCAGCGGAAAGGGAACGATACTAGGAGCTATATAAAGTTAATCAGAAATAAAAGAGTACGCTTTATTCTAAAAATAGTTATATGATGAACACAATCCTTCAATGCCTTCTAAGAGAGAACGCTATAAGAGAAATCTCAGAAGAAGCAAAACTTTAAACCCTGATGCTGCAAAGGTAAAAAGAGATCGAATCTGCTCTGTTGGTATGCATGATTACGTACGGATTTGTAATTACCTTTATAGGGGCCATCAGCAAGAAATGTTCTTATAGATCCCAAGGCTTTAGTTAAATAAGATCTCTGAGTTTAAGATAATACCTTATAATTCTAAGAAATTTATCAAAAAGGTTGTCTCTGAGTGTAAGAAGTCTCATGAAGAGCGTTTAAAGAGGATTAACAGAACCATGTCTACTCTAAATCAAAGAAAGAATAGCATTGAACGTAATTACAACAACTTCTTACTGAGCAAGGTGCTATTTCTACCTCAACTATAGCCTACAGAGAAGTAGCCAAATTCAGAACCTCAGCAACTTCATCAAAGTCAAAAAGGCCTTCCTTAAGAACTACCTCAAGATGCCTCTCAAGAGACTTAACCTAGACACGTTTGAGTACGTAATCTCTAAAATTTCTCCACTTAAATCACAAAATTCCTTAAAATTTACTCCTGAATCTCCACCTAAGATCGGACCTTCTGAGAAGCCTCAGGATATAAAAATGAAAGGGCATCTAAAAGGAAAGAGCTAGCAGGCTTGTAGGCGATACAGTGTTCCTATCAGGGGATGGTTCAGGTGGAGCAAAAGGGTTTTACCCTGCAGGGTGTAGCCTTGAGAATGCCTAGGAGGATAAGTAGTGACAACTGTAGTTCTTAGTGTTGCAACTACCAGCATAGACTTTCCTCCATACCTCTTCTAACCCATTTTGCCACTAAAATTTGACTTGATTCTCCACCCTACCCACCACACCTTCATCCCTCTCCTATCTATCCTCATTTTCCCCTCTCTAAATTTCCTTTGCATTACCTTTCCATTCAGGTTTTCCAACGAGATCTCTGAAGGGTGGGGTCCCCCACCCTTAGAGCTCTTCGAGAAATCAATCGAAAGATTACGCAATGAAAATAACACAAGTGTAAAATTTAGTATAAATTTTAGGTTGAAGAAATCCAGAAATCTATTAAAGCAGTGAAGTTGCAGAATAAATAGTTACTTCAGGAAGCCTATTAGCCTGGAGAATTTATATAAGTAGGCTTGTAGTGTGAGGGAATATAGGCTACAGAAGAAAGAAGATGAGGAACTGGAGGGGAATAGCAGTAAGAGTAAGTAGAGAGGTTATTTACGCATAGAGTCGAAGAGTAGGAAAGTTAAAGGTGGCAAAGGTAAATATCATAGGAGCTTTATGGGATTTTGTAGCCAAATCGATAGTGAAAGTTAAAGAGAAGAGTGAGAAGAAGAATTTAAAAGAGGATTATCGTCCTCAAATGCATGAAAAAGCAATTTCACAAATAATTGATAAAAAGACAAAACTTGTTAACTCAAAATCAAGACCTGTACTGAACCCTATGTTTTCAAAATCAAACAACTTTAGTCAAAAACATGTCAAACACAATCAATCTTCCAACCAAATAGAAAACAAGTAACCATATTATAAAACCTCTCCAACATTTAACTACCAATAGAATCCCGAGAAACGATCTTTTAAGGCTCAAAAAAGCCGCTCTTGCGGCTCAAGGGGCAAAACTCTTCATGCCTCAGAATCCATCTAGCCCACAATAACACAAAAAATGCCAAAATACCCTTTAATCACCACTTTCAATCCAATATCGTGCATAAGGGGTTTTGGGGTTTTGGGGTTTTGGGG